ATTCCAACTTTTGCTTACTGCTCTGCAAGATCAATGAAAAAACTGGGGAAATCGACCGTGCAAAACAATTGTAAGGTGCTGTTCCAAAAAAGAAATTGTATCTCGGGCACGTGTGGAAAGAGTGAAGAGGAACAATTGAGCTGCGACTTCCTGAATGTAATATTCAAGTGTGCGCAACCGAGACCAGCGCCCCCGGGAAGATGGCATCATCAAGCTGCAGTTGATGGAATAAACAAAAAATAAAATGAGTCAAAGATTCGTCGTCAACTCTGACATGTTGGCGCCGAGCAAAGCGGGCTGTTTTTGGGTTGCGTACGAACACGTACAAGGAGGTGGAGTCTGTCATCAGAGCGTCTTGCGGAAACACAAGGTCTCTGCGGCGGAGTGCAAGAAATTCATTGGGGTGAAGCATCCCGCCAAAGCCTAATGCCACAGCTCCTGCGAACTTGTCCCACCTCCATAACAATGCAAGACAAAGAATAGCCCGAAATACAGGCGCGCTCAAAACTGCCCGACACTGCCCAGGTTCTTCGATCTGCCATTTATGATCTACCTGCCAGGCTCCTGAGAGCAATCTACGAAATTCCGGCTTCACTTGTTGAACTGCCGTAATGGCGTACACCAACAAATAACGAGGTTTACCCTCCCGGAACAACGATAGGCCGTAGCCCCGCAGCGCAAGATTGGTCGTGTCTGCTTGTTTCAGGACCTCCTCAAGAGACATGCCAGCAACGGTGGAACACCATGCACCAAACAGCTCAAGACAACGCCTCATGCGCAAAGAGGTCGCTTGTGCAAACCCGCCCATCAAATCCAGCTCCCCTCGAGGGGTGAAGTTCTTTTGCGCAGAAGGCACGGGACCTGGGTGTCTCTCAACGTCACCTGCAATCAAAAGCAGCAACCTGATCCATCGGCCTATCGGACGAGTCCAGCGCGCCGACTCCAACATTAAGTCAAACGGTCTGAAGTCATCCTGCTTCAACGGGGTGATCCAGCGAGGCTCGTCCTTGGTTGGCCCAGGGACTGGACCATCTCTGGATGGACCATCTGCTCTGTTCCAAGCCGAGCGGCAATGGAGTGCACCAGGGTAGAGTCCCCCCCCAGGATATAGCCCAGAGAGGACTTCAAGATCCGACTGAGGGCACGTGGACTGCTGCGACCTTTGGCTGCTGCGCCCATGGTGACGCGGCTGTCCAAAAGTCCACCTAGTCGTGAACGAGGGTGAGCTTTAGCACAGTGTTTCAACCATGACTTGTAAACCCTGCATTCCAAACAATTAATGTGCCCTTTCTGTTGAAACTTGTATCTGAACAATTCCCGGAAAGTTTGGCTCTCACAGATGTCCTCCACCCAGTCTGGATCCTCATGCCATGATCTCCAGGCCTGGTCGATGCCCGTGGCTTTTGTGGTGGAGCACTCACCAGCCTGAGGCCCGGTGTCCCGCTCCGAGTGAGCAGCGACGCTCCCCAGAGCCATGCGACGACACAGAGGGAGAGGGTAGGATGCGGAGAAACTGCTCACCGCCTCCCCAAGCCGTGGCTCTCGGCCATAAACCTCCACAACGCTAGGCGTGCACCGCTGTCGAAAGGTCTGCAAGGCATCCTTAGTAAATGAGCCTTGAACTGTAAAATGCCTGTTCTTGTATGCACACGAACATGGTCCCGCCAGCCCACAATACCAAGGTTTGTTGTGCAACCATTTGCTTGGCTTCTGAAACCCTGCACCAAAGCTGCAAAAACTAAACTTGGTAATCCAACATCCTAGACCCACCAACACCTGAAAGGCATGAAGTTCAAACATAACTGAACTGCCACTACCAGGTTGTTCACAGGAAATATAACATCCGCTAGTCAGAGCTAAGGTCAGCAGAAAAGCAGTCCGAATGGCCAGCAGGGTCTGTTCCCGTGTCACCGGGTCTTTCATGTCGAAACCTTCAGGCTGTTGTTTAGATCTGAGTCGTGGTCTTCGCAAAGTGCCGAACGACCAACATGGCGGTCCAGCGTGCCACTCACGGATGGCTCCATGATAAGCTAATTTGCTCAAAGTCAAGAATGTATCCTTGTCGGACAAATCACCGTAGGCGTGGCCCGTGGCGCTCCGTTCAACACCAGGATGCACTCTCAAACCTACTTCAGAGTGACTTCGTGACCAGTTGCCAAACCCCGAGAACAGCTCGATGCAATCGTAGATGATCGTGCGGTCCTGGGGCGTCTTGGTACGAGAAGCAAAACTGTATGTTGAATCGAGCAAATGACTATCAGCTTCAGGTCCACAAGCACCCCAGGTTCAATCCCCAACTCCTGCAAGGCCAACCCGGCCCCCTTCTGAAGTTTTGTATAGTAGCCTCTCTGCTCTGTGTGTCGCCACAACTCTGAGACTGCACCTCGAGGAAAATCAGCCTTGCAAATCCGGGGGATGCGTCAAGCATGTAGATAGCAGGGGCAACATCAACTCTCAAGTCTGCTTGCATGACCGGCGATAACATGCACATCAAAAGCAACTCCGTCATGGTTTGCGAAGACATTTTGAACACGACATCGTCGGCTAGATGTTCACCCTCATGATACACTTTGTCAAAGATTGCAAACACAGGTCTGCGAAATAAGCAAACATGGGTCCAACAACCAATGAGGCCTAGCAACAACTTGCGAGTGATAATGCCTTTTCTGACAATAACACTAGTGATGAAACATAGAGCTGCGACGCGTGTCCTCGGAGCCGAAACACGGCCCCACACTCCGTCAACTTCGGCTCCTAACACAATAGCCCGGTCGACCTGTCTTTGGCGTTTACCAGGGTGTGCTGTGAGCTGAACTTGCTTGTACGCTAGTTCTGAAGCCTTGAACACCTCACTGTCTCGAGTGTGCTGCAAGCAGTCCGGGGTGTGGTCCAATTTAACACGTTGCAGCCCAATGTGGTCGTCAATGGTCAGCAACTCATAAAAAGGTCCTCTAGGACATGGTAGTCGATATTGCAATGCTTCATCGGGTCGCATGCTGCCAGCTAGGGTCCTCAACAAATTTATATGGCTTTGTTGGGCGATCTCAACAGCCAACGCGTCCCCCATCGCCAGGGTTCCCAAACAAACATAACAATCTTTGTTGTACAATGCGGGGTCACAACACTTCAAGTGCTTGAGCTCACTGCCATGAAAGCGTATGCCAATGGCGTTTCGACGAGCTCTCTGATTGCTAACCTTGAAGGTGTAGTAAAACTCGCAAAGATCGTCTGAGGAGATGAGTATCTTTTCATCTGGTGGCAATTGAATGGATGTGATCAAATACCCAGGGGCAAGTGTCTTGGTGAATGCTGAATACCCAAAACATCTCGAGTTGATCACCGTAGGATTCAAAATGAGCCGATCCCACTGCGCATCTTTGGGAACGCAAAATAAACCCACCGTCTCAATGGATGCGACTTGCGAACATTCGATCACTCTGCAAGCATCCAAACTGTCCCATTTTCCGGCCAACTCGAGAATCTCGCTCTTGTCAGCGTGCACGATGGCTTTCGGGAGTGCAGGCCAGGTGTCTTTAGGACGACGAAGGAAATCTGGGTTCCTAAATGCTTCCTTGACCACAGGGTCTGTTAAAAAGGGACTAGGATCGAAGGAGGGAGCTAACTTCCATTTGACGCGGGAAGCTTGAACTCGGAGGGTTGATGTGGTTTGCATTGGCATCCTGACCTGAGGCTCTAAACTAGTCTCTACGGAGGAAAGCCCGGACATGGCATCTTCAGGTGAACTGTCCTGCGGTCGTTCAACACTAGAGTAGCTATCGAATGACTTACGCAAAACGTCCAAAAAACCTTGCAAATCCTGAAAGTCAAACTTCAGGGGTTGATGACTTAATTGAAAAGCATAACTAGCTAATTTAGAAAGTTTCTCTCCTGCACGGCCCAGGCTCTCCATTGAAACAGCTTCAGCTCGTAAGAAATGATCAACGAGCTCCTCAAGATACTCCAACATGTCCAACTGAGGTTGGCTCATAGGAAAACCTCTGCGTGCACTCTCAGGCGGAAACATGGTCTGTCCCAGCGTCAGCCAGTTGAGCGCCACCACCAAGTGCTGCAGGGCTCGTGCTCGGACGCGAAGGAAGCGATGCTTCTTCCTCCGCCGGGGAGACAACTTCTCGAGCGGTGTCCAACGCCCCAGCATGGGGGGGGACAAGGCCACAGATCGGACCTGGCAGCAGGTCCGGCATCAGCGCGGATAGGCACCAAGCTGCGCTTAAGGAAGGCAGCAAAAGGTCCTTGGTGCGCCGCGACTTGCAGCGCGGCATTGAAAAACTCACTGCATTGAATTCCCTCAGGGAAAGCGACCCCGTTGGTCGGGTCGCCAAAATCGGGCAGAAGAGAGCTCTCCTGACCTTTCCCCTGAGGCAGTCCTCGACTCTGACTGGGATCCCTCTTTAGGTGTGCTCCCGCCTTGGCCGTCGGCTCACCACAGTTTCCCCCCCGACCGAAAGAAGCAGTCGGGAGACAATCCCGCTGCTCTGAGGAACAGGTGCGATGGCCGCTGGCGCGGGGACCTTCCATTCCCAGTCTTCAGCTCGCGGTGGTCGAGCCAGCCTCGTCTTTCCCCTTCTTCTTCTTCCAGGGCTTGCGAGACTTTGGATCCTCTGACACCTCTTTGGTCGCCGGTGTCGGACTGCTTGTCTGGCCGGTGGCCTTGATGCGACCCTCGATGAAGTCGAGGTCCTTCAAGTAAGCCACGTTGGCTGAGATCCAACTGGGCTGGGCCATGTGAACGGAACCACACCCGTCCTCATCTTGTTCTTCTGAGTCAGGGCATAGTTTGGCTCCGGGTGTGACGTCAGAAGCCAGCGCAAGTGAGTTCTCCCGGCGTCGTTCGCGGTCTGGTCCACGAACAGGAGACTTCTGCAACAAAACCCCTGCAACTGTCGGTTCCCTGACCGGAACCCCACTTCCCAGCCGGCTGCTAGGAGGTAGGCCATCTGAGTGAGGAGCCGATGATCGCCCAGGGGGGTGCGTCATGAGCCCCGGGTGAGGCTGCATAGGGTCCAGGCCTAGCTCCTCTGAAGCATTCTTCTGCACCACTTCTCCCAGCCTGTCCAGGTCCGCAACGACCTTGACATACGCCTCGCGGGCGAGACAGCCTTTATGCCACTGCCTGAGCCGCTGGCCTCCATGCTCCCCGAACCACCTAAGGCTTGGTGGATGGGGTCGTGCTGCTTGGGCATGGTCTCATTGGAGTTGCTTCATTTGCAACAACATCAGGCGTTGCATGGGATCCAGGTGAGCCGCTTCGAGCTCTTGCAGCCCTTCGTCCAACTCCTGACCAGTGGTGGCCTGCAACCCTTCTTCTTGCTGCAAGGCTTCCAGCAACTGTTCTGGGCGAGCTTCGCGGGCCAGGCGCTCGTGAGCTCCAAGGCGACTGGGCGCTCCACCCGCCAACTGCTGTAGTCGTAGAAGGCTCTGCTCCGAGGCTCTGGGTGGCGTCATCCCGCTGAACAGCACTCCTTGGCGGGCCTTTTGCCCGAGTGGCTCCACTCTGGAGGAACCAGGCGTGAAGCCTTCGCGGGAACTCCGGCTCCGCCCCCAGCGCCTCCGCCTGTGCCTGGTCGTCTGCTGTTGCGTAGTCGCCAGCAGTGTCTTCGTCCATGGCTTGACTGATCCAAGCCTCTGCAGCTCCGAGTAGTGAACTTCGACGAGGTCTGCATGCCTGCCCCTCGTGAGAGAAACGCAGCAACTCGAACGCTTGCGAACTTCGGAGAGAGTGAGCTCGGATGAACAGATTGGCCAGGTCCCAGCATAGATCTACCAGGAGAATAGCAGCAGTCCCCAACAAGCGGCCTCGGGTGGTTTCCATCTCGACCTCTGCCAGGTGAATGGCCGTAGCTTCCACGCCACCTTCCAGCTCGACCTCTTGGTCTTGTAGGAGATGAGCAACCTCTTCTGTGTCTGGAGCTGCGATCATGAAGCCCCCGAACCGGAGCTTGATCAAAGTGCATTGCGCTCGCAAAACTGTACCGTCCTCGCGGGCCGGCAGTCGGAGGAAAAGACTTGGGAGCGCTCCTCCGGGCGCTCGGGCCCCATACAAGGCCCTCAATGCATCTTCGTTCAATCCAGACGCCGCAGAGGCGGCGGCCATACTCTCTCTGCTCCGAAGCAATAGGCTTGGCCCTCAGCTCGCGAAGCAAACCCCTCGCAGACGGCGTCTGCGTGTTGGCGACCCAAAGAACCCGTCACCGAGTTCCGGAAGGTGGCGTAATGATCAGTCCACCCTGCCGGATGTCCAGGAGCCCCTCGAAGGACTATGTAGATGCGATTGGGGAGAGGGCTGTCACAGGCAGTCACTGCAGGACTGCGCTGAAAGCCGAGTTTGGCTCGTGCCAAAAGCCCACACCGCAATGCCCTGCCGATTCTGGCTGCAGGCGACCAACCACCGGGCGAGCCGCGCAGCCGGCTGTAGAGATGGCGGACTCCAGACAAATCCAGGGCCTCGAAGTCAGCCGGATTCACGGCAGCCAGAAGTGCTGCCTCCCAGGCAGGAGATCCAAAGCTGTGGTTCACCGGCACCTCAACCAAGGTTCCGCTGGTGGCACCCAGCGCAGCAAGTTCTCCAGCAGGAGAACTGAGGGCCCGGATGGGGCTGCAAGTGCACCTGTACCAGGGGCCTCCACCACGAAGAAGGAGCCAATGCTCTCCGTATCACCAGTCTGTCCAGCTTCCGGAGCCTCCCTTGAGATCCGGATGTTGAGCCCTCCGAAGGTCACCGTGAGCTCTGACACCTCCTGGGCGCTCATGCACCGTGCACCCTGTACTGGCTGAACCTCCGCCTCAGCTGCAGGCCCTGGTCGTGAAGCTCTGGTTCCACCCAGAGGTTGAGCAGCAAGGAGGAAGCCAGCCTCACTCCGCGGCGGCAGGCCGGGGAGATGAAGCAGGAAGCCAGGCAGCCTCCACAGCAGCAGCCCAGGGTGAAGGCCAAGACGATGGCCAGCAGCAGCCAGCCCCAGGGACAGCTGCACGAGGTGCTCGTCGGCACCCAGAACTTGAGCTCGCGCAGGTCCACGACAGCAGCCCAGTGCATCCGCGGCCCGTCTCGAGCCGAGAAACTAGAGCAAGTGCGTGCTCAGATGCTCATGATAGAGAGGCATATATTTAAATTGAAAAAAAACATGTTTGTGTTATATACCCTTTGGGGTCATCTACAATCACCTATTTGGGGTTACCCTGAAACACATCACAAGCCGAGTAGCTGTTCTGCTGAAAGGTACTCTCGTTCACCTCGCTACTACCAGCCGGTGTGCCAGCAATCAAATCCGTGCTGCAGTCTGTGGAGAGGTAGAACTGAGCTTCACAAACGTGCCAACCATCAGCGCCAGCTCCTGGCTTTCAGGCTGCTAGTCTACAACTCTAAGATGTTGCCTCTGCTTTCAGAACCAAATCTCATCAAACACCCAGTTTGAGGTTCTAAAAGTCACCGGGCCCAAACCTTTTAGCCAGTCGTGCCTGAGATGTTGCTAGACAGCACTCGCCACCCGAGAGGGCTAGCGCCAGTAAGACCCGTACCTGGCTTCAGACAGTCTCAGCCCCATCCGGCGTCCGCGCAGTTCTCATTTTGCAACTCACCCCATTTGCGCAGAGGACAACCAAACTTTATAGCGGCCCAGACTACCGCTTTTCTGGTTGAAATTCACTTGAGCTGTGCTGAAAACCTTGCTGCTTTCCCACTCAAATGCTTCCCTTATTGAACCAAGCGAGTTTGTGTTAATAACTCAAAGCTTCTTGCTCCTAGTAGAAATGCCCTTGTTATTAGTAGCTTCTTGCTCCCAGTAGCGATGCCAGGAGCCCCTAGTAGCGTCCTTGCTCCTAGTAGCGATGCCAGGAGCCCCTACCAGTCTACCAGGTGCTGTCAACTCCAGAGAGTTCAAACTAGGCTCAAGTATCCAAATCACGGGCCTCTGGGCGGCAACTACGGGGTGAAGGTCCATGCTGTTTTGAGGGCGTCAGAAAGGAACCCCCAAAGAGACTCGATGATCTGCCAGGAACCTACTCAGTGTCTCTATGCCGAAACGAAACTTGCCAAACCGAAGACCCAGCCACGGATCGTGAAATTCTCCACTGCAATTCCTGAGAAGTTTGTCCCAGAAACGTCCCGGATGACACCTGCCATGCGCAAGACCGGGACTCAAACCCAAGAGTTGCAGGGCTAGCAAGGAGTTGATGTTCATTTCGTAAGGTCCACTACGAAGTATTGACTATTAGCGTTCTTCGTGCCCAAAAGACCAAGCTCACTTGCCAAAGTTGGGTCAACTGACCTGGGAAGGAGGGTCAAGACACAAGCCATCCCGATGAGTCTCCCATGAATGTGCGACCTGTACCCGTCACCTTCTCCACTAATACCTCATACCGATACATTTCGCTGAATAACTTCCTGGAGCTCTGCCGGAGGAAACATGACTTGAATGGACTCTAAGATGTGTGCAGCTTCCGAAACCACACCAGTTTGGAGACACCAAACCTTCGTAGTCTCTCTTGCCAACCAAGATCCTCGCCACTTCATTGGTGAAAGGGCTCGAGTTTGATTATAAAATCATTTCTAAAGAGTGGCGGTTTGCTGGGTGGGACTCTCTGTAGGCACCCAAAGTCTTGGGTGTTGCGAATTGGAGAGGCATTTGGACAGCGTGGTTGGCAATACAACTTGCGATAGTGTATCTCAGTATGTTCTTGCAAGTTCATGGATACCCAACTTCTGCTTGTGCCAATCGTGTTTCTTTCCTCTCAACCCGAATGCCTTCAGGCACATAGAACTGATGGAGGTGAAGGCCCGAAAGCCGATGGGGATACGTGATCAAGACCAAGTTCTTGGTGAAGGTCACAGAGAACGTATCCTGGACCTGGGAGCTTGCGGAGCTTCCAACTTCGCCACACAACTGACAAATGGATCAACCTTGTGCATCGCTTGTTATACACCAAAAACGCGGTAGTGTCTATCTCAGAGTGGTGAGGGGGGCATTCCAGCAGCAGCGTTGCCAGTCTCTTGTATGTTGAGACGCTATCTGGGTAAACAATTGGAATGCACCGCGAAAGGATGGATTCTCCACTGAACCTGCCTGTGGGCCCTTGTGGCGGGTGGCCATTCCATGGAGGTATCACCCTTTAAGTGATCCGACAAGCCAAAAGAACCCGGCACTGCTCCATCATGATACAAGCATGTCTGCATGCTTGTCTGCATGATAAGCTCCCAAGAAACCACATGAAAAGGTTTAACAGTTTAGGTGTCAAACAGAATCCACTAAAGCTTTACATAGACTGACTAGACTCACCTGGTTTTCAAAGCCATCGGTCGCTTCTTTTCAGGTTATCCTGGTCGGCCAGGACGGCCATGGCACGTTGATGTCCACGGAGGTATCGTCAAAGGTGCCGCCCTGTCCACAAATGTTATCCGCACCACCTAGGCCACCAGGTACGGCAAGGAAACTCTTCGAAACGCCCGCAGTGGTTGGCCTTCAAAGCCCTTCTAAATCCAAAAGCACTCAGAAGAGGATCCCTGTCTATCCTGTGACACATCTGTTATGACCCAGCTGTTAGTGGCTTTTCTGCTCTTTGTCTTCTATGGCTTGCTTATATGCGCTATTGATGATTCCGTGCGGCGTGAGACATCAAAGCCTATGTCAAGTGGAACCCGGGCCCGTTTGCGTGCAACTCCTCCAACCAGTCAGCCCTACACACCTCCATTGTGGGCCCAGCCACAGTCGATGATCTGGAAGTTCCCTTCTCCAGCTTGAACCCAGTCATTGAAGGTCAACAATACCTGAAGTCCCAGGATTGTGGGAACTAGGTTCAGAAGAGATAATCGGGTCCTCTTTGCATGTCACTGATAGACGACCCAAAGAGCGACACAGAGATTTGCGAGATGTTGGGAATCAACAAGGAGACTGACAAACTCACACCTGGGTACAGTGGCAACCCAATGTCTCAGTTCAAACAGGGTTGCAGTGCGACCCCCAATTCTACGTCACATAACGTGAGCTTCAGCTTGCATAGACAGCTTTGCTCAGCGGCCAGCCTATGTAACCGGAGGGTGACACACCCAAAATTCGAACTCTCCTTGCAGCCAACTCCTCTGCGATGGTTGCATTTTCTGGATCAGCACTCCCAAAGAGCTCGAGGCAAAACGATAAATAGAAAGGAGGAAGAAGAAATCAGAAGAACAGTGCAAAGAAGAAATCTTGTCTCTAATAGCTTCTTGCTCCTAGTAGCGATGCCAGAACCCCCTAGTAGCGTCCTTGCTCCTAGTACGGCCAGGAGCCCCTAGAAGTAGCGAACCTCGCTCCTACCCGGCCTGGAAGTTCGAGGTGGTCACATCCTCCGAGCCATTGGCCGGAACAGTGGACATGATGCTTGGCCCAGTGGAGGGCGCATCAGCAGTCACCGGAGTATTCCAAGGAACGTGCACGCTGAGGGATTGGAGGCATTGCTGTAGAAGCTCCACTGATGCGTGCAAGTTGAGCCTAGCAATTGGGAAGACGCGAATAGAGTTCCAGGTGGAGAGCTAGGTTGTGTGAGCTCTGTGGAGAGCGGGTCATCACGAACCTGTGGAGAGCTCTCTTTAAATTTTGGGTCCTAGGTGGTTGTATTCCACTTGGATAGCGATGGCCCCAAAGCTTGCAAGCCCTTACCCTGAATACGGCCCATCCATCCATTGCATGGCCAAACCAACGATCGTGGAATGTCCAGCGTACCTAGGCTTGAGGGCTCTGGCTCTGGGAGATATAAACCCTTGGGGTGTCCAACAGGCTGGATGAACTTGATCGAACAAACGGCCCGGCTCTTCAATGGCAGTTTACGACGACAAAGAAGACAGTGCTCTGCAGCATGGGTCAATGAGTCAATGCCCTTCAGTTTTCTGGGAGCTCCCATCAAACTGTTGCAACATGGTGACTTAGAGTAACAAGAAGCTACTGGGACCCGTGAAGCATGTCAGGCCTCGTCTGTTGGAATAGGCCGCCGATGGTGCCTTGAGCCCTCGCAACCTCCCAAGGATTGGTCCAATTCATGACCCGCTCCTGAGATTCACAAACGACTGAGCTACAAACCTAGAGTCATGCCCAGTTGTCTGTCATCCCACTTAGATCGTCAGTCCACTAGCATCCGTCAAACATCTGGAAGAGAACGAAGCCCTTAAAGAGTGTTGCTCGGTTGGACTTGATTCAGCCAGTTAATTTTGAGAATGCTAGACTGAGCAATTGGAGCAAAACAAGCGCTACCTGATCCGCAAATACAAGCATCATTTGTGCACTGCACAGGCAAAGGCTTCACAAAGCTCAATCCATCCGCCAACTCAAGCCTTACAATGATGACTCAAGTCGATGCAACGCTGCAACACACTCTACCTCTTGACCGCTGCAAACACAAAAGAGGAAAACCTACAAAGGCAGAAAAGCTTTCAGAACATCCCAATGAATGGGGCTCAGTGGCTGGAGGTCAAAGTAGTTGGGTGTGCCAAGTACACCAGACCTTGGATCTTACAAAGTTTTTGGAAAATCACCTCAAAGACTCCTTATAGGATGTTGATCTGGGGGTTAAAAAAAGAATTCACTTGTTCAATTCGGGTCACCCCCACAGCAGTGGTGACTGATCCTCCACCCGGAGGAGATTGCTCAGCAAGAGGTCTGATCCTTGAGCGATGGACACGCTGCTGCTGAGGGCATAGATCTGCAAACTGTTGGCCTCGGTGCATTGAGCTGCTAGGCCATGGCACATCCTCCAGCTCCTTCAATAGAAGAGTTCAAATCTAAAACCAATATCAGCCCTGTTGAACAAACAAGCGCTACCTCTGCAGTCTGCTAACTGACGCACCACCAAACGAGCCAACAATCCAACTGCCGCGTGACTGTCACATTCTCTGCTTCGACCGTCTCGTTCGGAGCCTCCAGAGCCTCAGCCTCCACCGTTAGGGTGCTGTAGACCACGTCTCTGGGATCCTCTGTGGTGAAGTTGGAGCTTGATAAGTTGCCTGTGCCGAAAACGGCCCTCCGAGGCCGTTCTGAGAACAAAGTTCTGATGCAACTTGTCTCTTTGTTCTTTTAGTGTTTGGGAAGATAAAAGAAAACTAAAAAGAATGCCAAATTCTGGTCAGGCGCTCCAAGAGGAGTTCGCAGAATCCTCTCAAGCATGGTTTAGCCGGTTTAGCTTTATATAAATTACATCACATGCCGCATTGCAAAATATTCAATCAAACTGAAACTCCCAAATGATCCTTTGCTGAAGCCAACATGCTCGTGCTTGTCATTGCCACTCTGGACATCCACTGTGTGCTGTGCCGGTGTCCTCACCCTCCACCTGGGTCTAATTACATAACATGGATACGTATGAATTCTCCCTGTAGTTTGCTTGATGGTGTGTTCATCATCAGTACCACCATGCTCACAGCATGAGCAGATCGCCATGCATGTCCACTATTCATGTTGACCACAAACTCACCCTTGCCGTGCCCGACTCCTGGATGGCAGTCCTGAGCGCAGTGGCTTATTGGTGGAACCATCAATCATCATCGAAACTGAGCAAAAAGCAGTACAGTACGACAAGTTGGCAAGAGCCAGTTTAACTGGATGAGCCGCTATGTCAGCGCAGTTGTGTCACCATAGTCTCAGGCTGCAATCAATTGGAATATCCGCCAAGAATATACTTTTTCACCACGGAACTGGTAGATATGACTGGAAGGAAGACAGGGCCTTTGAATGGAAAAATGAAAGATGCAATCAATCCTCTTTACGCCTGCTTTTTCCTGCAAAATGTTTACCAAACTATTGTCTGTCTATCAACCATAGTCTAGTGCAGCTGTGGGGTGGAGCTCTTTTCCGTTCAGCCAGAATGCTCATACATATATACATCATCCAAGTAAAACATCAGTTCTCAGGTTAGGGTGCGTGGAAACCTTCGCCGACAAACACTGCGAACTCCATGCAACGTGCGCCATAACAAAGGAATCCAACGAATTCACTGGCCATCATCTTAACCTGTGTGTTTGAAGCACTCGAGTCCAGCTTTGCCTGGGCCCTCTAAAGAGGATCCTTTTAAGCCTCTACAGCCGCAAAAAGGAGAATGGTGGCTGCAGGGGCTGTGGGACGTGAATGTGAAGATTTTGTCGAACGAGCAAATCCCCGGCTTAGCTTGGGCAGCTTGGGCTCGTCTGATTGTAGAAGCCTGGGATCATGGGATTAAACTCCGGAAGCTGCTCGATCTCTGGCAACTCTTCCACTAAAACCTCCAGAGCACACTGCATGGCTTTCAAATTGGAATAGTCTCCAACTGATTGAGGCTCAAGATTATATGAGGGTCAAAGAAAGCGAGAACCTCCTTCACAGGTAGTCAGTAGAAAGTTCTGTGATGAAAAAAATGTCTGCCCGTCTACAGTGGGTTGCATGTGGCTCACCAAGGCTTCTTGATTTGCTTTCCAACACACAAACGCTGTACTGTGTGCAACAGGAGAGAAGCCACAACAAAAGTTCTGTAAAGATATGCAAAAAGCAGACCCCCTTGATTGAGAAAGTAGTTTCGAAGCTTGATCGAATATGCTCAGGTGGATATCATGCGCGATGCGAACAGGAGACAGTCACTCTTGGAGGTTGGATACTTATTTGCGTCTCAGAAACTGCAGGCTCAATTTCAGGCGCATCATCTACGTCGCCACTGCAATTTCCACTGATACCTGGCAGCTCTTTCAACAAACTCGGCCCAGCAGAATTCATTAAAACCAATTTAGCAACTTTGAGGAATGCTGAAGCTTCACAAAGCAGGGTCAGTGCAAGTGATTGAGTTCTGTGCTTGGAGCTCATAACTGGGAAGAAACTGGTTCAGTTCAGGTGTGGGAGTGATTGAGCATGAACCACCAGCAACGCTTCATTGAAAGGTGTGAAGTCACCAAGAAGATCCTTGACTACTTGGCTCTTAGCGACTGAATTCATGCAGAACAAGGAGGGTGCAACTTAGTGTGGCCGTCAAGGTCACAGCTCCATTCCTCACAACCACTCTGCAGGGGCGTTTTCCAGCTTCGGCGGACTCAGAAGCACATCTGAAAGGAAACAGGGAGGTGCTGAGCATATTGCAACACTGAAGACCCTTCCATGAGCCAAGCCGTTGGGCACGGATTGTGAGCTTGACTCTTCAACAGGTCGTTGATGTCAACTGCTCTACCAATCTTTACCCTCGAGCCATTCTGCATAGTCTCTCAAAGCCTTTCCTTCCAGGCCACTGGCTGAGGCAACATGAGCAACTGCCTCACCATATTCCATCAGCAGTTCCTCATAGTCGTCCACATAGTCCGAACCAAAGCCCTCATCATCTGTCTCGAGGTCCAAGGAACCACGCGCCCGCGACTTCCAAACTCTTTTGGAAACTTCCCCACCCTCCAGGCTGAAGTCTCGGAAGGCGTTGTCCCGACTGGGCGTCCAGCCATTGCAAATAACATCTTCAAGACACTGGCAAGTGCGATCCCGGACCAAGCCATCCAATGAGTATGACGACCATTTCTGCTTCACAGACAGGAGGTAGGCAACATCAGCAGCGGCATACTCTAGTAGTTCCTGTCTGAGAGGCCTCTCTTCCCAGACAGCCTCACTGCCACCAGCCTCATTGCTGAAGAGACCACGGCCAGCATCTTTCACAGCTTTCAACTGTTCCAGCTGGCATTCGCTAACGACAGCAGCAGACTCCAATATCTGGTAGAAGCCCTTGATAAACCTGTCGCTCTCCCTGCTGAATTTCAGGTCATAGCAACTGGCTAGCTGGATCCCATATCCTGTGTGCAACGCATGCGAATCACCACGTCCATCACATAGTACCTTGCACACAGGGCCTTCTAAAAGCTCTTTCAAACGACCATTCGTGAATGCTGCCGGCCCCATGTCGGTGATGTCAAAAAGCATCACACTAGATGGGGTTGCAACCTGGATGATGCAACCTTTGCCCGAGCGGCAAAGCTCCAATCCTTCGAGATCTACTGCAACTTCCCTCAAGCGCAGCAGTGATACCACCACTTCTCGACAACGTTCCACGCAATTGATCAGCTCATACGGAACGTTCATGGCAGGCCGGCTTTGGAGGACTTCTGCCCCGGCAGAAATGGGAGCTCTGACTTGCGAGTTGAGTGCCCCAAACGCTTCTACAAATGCTCAAGAAACATTGTGTCCAACATGCTGAGCCTGTGAGGTGGTTGCTACTAGTAGCGATGCCCTTTGCTCCTAGTAGTCTTGCTACTAGTAGTATGGCCAGGAGCCCCTAGTAGCGTCCTTGCTCCTAGTAGCAAAGCCACCTCTCCACTTTCCAACCAACTACTTTTCAGGGAACCGAACTCAACCCTATGCAAGGATGAGTGTTCACACCCCAAAGTTACCTCTTCCGTTTTGAGAAACTCTTACATCGTAATAGACACATGGGTTAGCCAAGCAAAAAAGTGGGTGAGTTTATTTGGCCAGTTGGCTGGAACTGTAAGCAGGGCAAATGTGGTGCCGAGCTTCTGTCGTTGCAGCTAATGTTCTCCTCCCTCTCTTCGCGGTTGAACATCACAGGAGGTGGTCTGCGAGGCAGGTCCTGAACTGATCTGGGTCTTGGCCAGACCGCTGAAATTGTGCGGTAGATACTGTTCTAGTGGGAAAAAGTGGTCTTATGATTTGAAAAACAATTTGATACGTCCATTTCGACATCCGCGCACCCCTGCGGTTTGTTCCGATTGATGTGCAAGGCTGTTTAGGAGAATAGCTAGAGCCTAAAATATCTTGATTCTGACCGCCATACCAGTCAGGTCTCAACGGACATACGAATTGAATCCGACGGGGCTTACAATGCTTGCAAGCACACCCCAGAGGACCAAGCGTCTGTCAGCCTTTCACATGTTTCATTTTCGCTGTCATTCTGGATATTGAAGTCGCAGGGCACCTCGCGCTGGCTACTTCGTGGCTGCGGTTGTGCTGGCGGCGGTGGCACGGGTGCTGCAGCCGGCTCAATGTCGATGTCCCAACAGCCAGTATAGCGGCGGATGTTGCCAACCTCAAGCAGCATGAACAACGATCTCTGGGACGATGGATAAAAGCAAAAGACAATTGCAAACCAAACAGGAGAAAAAGTTTTCCCGGCATCTTCTCCTGCGGTCGACAGCCAGTCGATTCTTCGTCTTTCGTTGGCTGCTCACAACACCTTCGAAAAGACCTGGATGGATCTTTCCAAGGCACACCTGACCTCACTGGTGTTTTTGCGTCTGACTTCAAGGAGCAACTCCCTTTTTTCAAACAAGCAACCCTCAAGGAGCTTGAGATGTCTCGGAGAAAGAGACACAAGTGGTCCAAACCATGGCGGTGAGTCATCTGCGCTGGAGGAGTGTAGCTCAAGGTGTTGAGGACATCTTCCAAATCAGCAGCTGAGCCTTGCAAACCTGAGCAGCAGTACAGTGGCCGGAATGTATTCTTATGTCTCCCTGCCACTGGTAACCCGGTAACCCTAGCACTCTTAAAGTTTATCCAACTCAAAAACGGAAAACTTCGGCCGCCTTCACCTTAAAGAGTGTTCATTTCAGCAGTACAGTGGCCAATGAGGTTCCGCTCCGCCTCGGTGAGAATCACCTGCTCCGAGACTGCCATGCTGATGTTTCCATACTTCGCCATGATCCGCATCGCAAAGGGCCACGGGGCACCCACGGCCCCAGTGGAGCGCAGATCGATGTCATGGATCTTAAAGCAGCACAAGGACTTCGGGGTGTCCTGCAAGTCACACATCTGAAGCGTCTTTCTTTACTTGGTGAAGGACATGGTTCGACCAAGAATTGCTTTCTAATCGCCTTTCTTGGCGAAGCATGCGGTGGAGACCCGGAACTTTGGGGCACAGGTATAATTCGCCCATTCTGCTCAACGTAATCCAGACAAAAGCTCACACATATAGACGAAACTCATTTGAACCTAGCTTCCTTTTGCTGTCAATTGAACCACCCAATTGTTGATCAGAGCTGGTAGTGAGCCAACTATTTCTTTGCATCATGGGATACTGCATAGTGGATCATAGTGGTATATCGGGGAATCGTCGTTTGTGAGCTTTCGCTGGTTTGCCATGCTTCGGAGTTCAACATGTAGAGGCAATTGGTTTGGCAATCGACGGAATGTCGGCAAAAACGGCTTCCGGCTTCTAGACTTCGTTCCTTCCCCCCCATTTTGACGAAATGTAAGCTCAACATGGATCTCAAACAAACAGAGCCTGTTTGAAGGTTCACCAGGATCCGCAAATTGGGTTCACACGAAAAAGCTTCAAACGAATGTAAGCCAATCCTTTCAGACTTGACCACTCCCGTGCACAATGGAGGAGGTGCACTCGTGCCAATCCTTTGGGAAACACGATAGCAAACCAAGCTCTTCGTGTTTGTGCACCTCCCAAAACTTGTTCCGAGCACAACTCAACTCCCCCTCTGTCCTGCTGGACATGTAGAGGTAAAGCCCAGGGATGATTCAAAGAGAAAAGCACCGGTGTGTCGTCCACCGGCTCTACCTCAAGGGTCAGCTTCATATCACAACAAATAAATCCACTCAGACTCCACTCAGCTCAGTAGAGTTTCAAGAAGACTGTGTGTTTCTTGCAGTTGCTCAAGCGAATGTCCCGCTTTGGGGTTAGTTCTCTTACTGCAATATAGCGTGCCAGGCCATGGCAGGCCTCCACTGTCAAAGCCCTTGTGGAGCAGGTGTCTGCCATGGTAACTTTCAGATCCAAATCCCATTGGCACGCCTGCGGTTGCTTTCGCACCACTCCCAAACGGCACAGCACATGTGTCAGCTCAAAATACGCACACGTACACATTTATGTGCTAAGCAAAAAGAAAGGAACAAAAACTCTTGGTCTAGATCAAGTTTACATGTGTATCAGTTAGATTTCAACAAACAATACGCATTCACTTTGCCAAACACCGTCCTGCAGCTCGATCTTGGCCGGTTGTGCTGGAGGACTCACCCAGTCTCGGTTTGGGTGTTTCCAGCGCACCTCCTGCAACAGAGTGTCCAGCACGGCCATAGACCCAATCACTTCCAGGCGTGTTGTGGAGGAGGAAAGGACCGAACCAAAGGACAAGTGGACCATCTCATCCAACAGCAGGGCACCATCGGTGGATGAGATCTTCCTGATGTCAGTGGTCCAAACGTCGGATTCCCAACTCTCTTTGCTTGACTTCTTGGAGGTTTTCAGTAAAGTCCTTCACCATGCGAAGCTGCACACCAAAGTAAAAACACACTTAGAAAGTTCCCAGCTGCAGATAGAGCTTGGGCTCTGGTGCAGGGAAATCGATGTGAATTCCCCCAGCTTGGCCAAACCAAAAGGCCTGGAGACACAAGACAGCAGCCAGATTCCTTTTGGGCAGCTGCAAAGAAAGGAGATATACATTATTGTGTATAATTAGTTGTATTGATCGGTACTGCCCAAAACATATCACTTCTTGTCTGCCTTGGGGGTGCTTGGGCGTGTTGGGGTGGTGGTACTAAAACAGATGATGATCCGTGGAGGAAACGAAGATACTATCTTGAAGGTGAACCAAATAATCGGTGATATTCATACGACAAAATCCTGTCTCCAATACAAGTTTAGGAGTGGGTTCCAAGCAGGGATACCTCCACATTAGGGACATCAAATATTATGTGAGTGACTCAAAATCCTTCCTTTCTCTGCCTCATCCTCCTTGCTCTTCAGCGCTGCCGTCTTCACAATGAGACCAACCGGAAGTCGAGCCTCTGTTTCCACAACTAAAAGCAGCTTGAAAACAGGATCATCATCTTACTTTAAAAGCGTAGGAATGAGCACTCACTCTTGTTGCGACTCTTTTGGAAAAGGACAATTAAATCAAGATCCTTCTACCTGCATGCCCTCATTGGTTCGTGGTCGTGGTAGGTGAATCTTTCATCAAGATTCCTGCTAGGTTCGGCTGAGAAGCAGAAGGCCAGATTCTTCAAGCAACTGAATAGACTCCAGAACAAAAGAAACAAACAAGTCTTGTCCCCTGTCCCTCCGCCTGCAAGACCGTCACACGAAAGGCGAGCTCACCCGTGAGGTTTCTGCCACCCTCCAAGCCACCATCAGAGACACGCCTTGCAAAGGAGCTGCCACAAGGTCTAAAAGAGAAAAGCCCTCCATGCTCACAAATATGTTTCAAGAAAACGAATGGGAAAATTATGGCCAAACACTAGCCAAGTCCAGTCAGGCAAGCTGCACAAACACCTCATCTTCCCCCGCAAACCACCCTGGTGGCTTGTAGAGCACTCTGTTGAAGGACTCTTGAATTTGCTGCAACGTGCCCTGAAGACGAAGGTAGCGGCTCGGATATGGAGGCGCAGGAACTTGCCTTGGCAGCTGGATATGCCACATGGAGCTTGTAGTAACACCAAAAGTTGTAGAAGGGTCGATCGACTATATGAACAGTTGCGCATTGGTTATGTCAGAAGGTTTCAGTGGATAAAGAGACTGGTGGGAGACATGGTTGGAGAGTTTATCGCGTGGGAAGGGCAGCTTGAATCTTGCTTGAGCACGTCTTAGATTCGGAATGTAGACACCTCAAAACGCCATGGCTGTTTGAAGAAGAGGTGAGGAAAAATTAATGATTGACCCAAAATCATCGAATCAGTTGAGAAAAGGCATCCAAGTTGGACATAAAGCCAGCCCAGCAGCTCTTGCCAAAGGGGTTCGCCCAAGGGAAACAAGATCTCCCCAACCAGCGTCTGGAAAGTGAGGGTGAAGCTCTCAGCACGTTCTGCACGCCATCCCACAACGTCCGGATCATAGACCCGAATGCCGCGGAACGGGAACGACTCATTGTTCAGCATCTCCTGTGCATCTTCAGCAACTAATTTGCCTTCAATTTGGATTGGCCTTTATTGACTTCAGTGACGGCTCTCAAGCATTTTGGTTCAAGTGGTTGTCCAAATTTGAGCTCGCCAAGCACGGAGTTCCAGACACACAACCAAATCAACAAGCCTATCGAAAGATTCACCAAAGAAACTCGGTCGTCTTGGTTGTCTTCGTCTCATTTCTCGCTCAACCCTCCTGTGGAGGCAAGGTTACCCAGTAGAGCCATGGCATGTCATTCACCGCCTCGACTTGGATCTTCGACTCCTTCGCGCAACGTACCACGGTTCCGTATTTGGATCATCCCGCAACCAGCCTCAAGTTCAATCGTGAATGGCTTTGAACCTGGGGTTAACCCCATATAACCTGATATGGCGGTGGTTTGTTGTAAACTGCAATTCTCTACAGCCTGATTGACTAAGGCACACAATATGAAATTAACCCAGCTGACAACCCCAATGGCAAAACATCCACCAAGATCCGGCGCATTTTCTCTTGCGTTTGTTTTCACATATCGATCATCGAGGACAATTCATTTAAAAACAAGTTAAATGCATTCCAATAGTTTATACAACACAAACAGTTCAATATCCAAGCTAAATGTATCTTCCGTAAACCACGAAGCACTTAAGGAATGTTCGCCGATGGCCAAACTGTATGTTCAAGTGCTCAAGTGTCTGCGCATGGTGCATACCTCTGAAGAACCATTTCCATACAGCACAACAAGAGATTCGCACCAAGGAGAGGTGTGTGTGTGTGTGTGTGCAAGTCCGATTCTGACAAAGAATGAAAGGAATAATGAATTTACAAACGACAGGAGCCTATGATTATCACCAAAGGAAGAGGAAAATGTTTTGAAGGACACCCGCATAATGCACTGAATGCAGCACGCAATTAGTAGCCAGCTAAGATCCTTTACAAAACCAGTACAAAGGATGCTGACGTCAAGCGAACCAGTGTTTTTACATGTCGACGCATAATCTATAATCTATATACATTAGGCGCGACATGATGCTTAAGCGCCAGCACACAATGTGCACCAGGTGTATGTACATGCAAGCGCAAACATCACGGAGAGACACCACCGGAACATGACCGAGACACCACCTAAAACATCACGGAGAAACACCACCGAAACATGACGGAGACACCACCTAAACATGACCAAGACACCACCGAAACATGACCCAGATACCACCAAACATGACCGAGTCAGACACCACCTAAACGTGACCGAGACATACCGAGACAGCCGAGAGAGGGAAGACTGTCAAATCATTTCTCCTGAATGATCTTGCGTGGCTCAGCCCCAAAGACATCTACAAATGCCACAGTGATTCTCATCAATACCTCTCCATCAAAGTTAGAGGGGGGCGTGAAGACCAAGTGGCGAAGGCATTCTCGCACTTCACCTCATTGCCAGGTTCCGGGTAGCAGCTTGGCTCAAAGCTGAAAATTCTGGAGTGCAAAATATCACTTGAAAAGTCTTTGTAAAGCTCCACTATATTGCATATTTGGATCCCAACCTTCTTGTTATTTGGCATTTGGGGTGGTCTTGCGCCAGTCAAGGTGGGCTCCCAATTGTTTGTAGAACCCAAATGCAACTTAAAGGGAGCCAAAAACACGCTCATATAACTTGCAAACCGAATTCTTCTCATGCAAGCGACCTCGAGTTGGCCTCAGAGCCACTTCGGCACCAACTTCGCAAGAGGCCAAACTGGGAAAGGAGGGATCGCTCGAAGTACCTGCACATCTTGTGGTGAAGATTCCTGCCCTCCGTCCTGCAAAAGCATCACAATGGACCATACCAGTCGATACAGAAACCTGCAGATCCACATAGGTGGCGCTTTCATCAGCGTCGCCTCCTTGCCAAGCGGTGACAAGCACAACGGATTCTGTTAGACCAATTCTTGCACAGAACAAAAGTTGAAGGTCTTTAATTGAGAGCATCTTTGGGTCAGCTGGGGAAACCCTGCCAGAAAATCAGCAGCCAGGCGTCTCAGGTCAATACAAATAGGAGCTTCCCAAACATCCTCCTGAATCCTAAACCAGACTTCGTCAACGCCAGTGGACTCACATGGCTCCAGGTGTGGCATCTCATCTGCTGCCTGGGATGGACTCAAATCACCAGAAACATCTGTCTAAAGGATCACAGCTAGTACCCTCCACAAAAATCAACGAATTGACCAACCTGTTTTTTGGGTGACATGTTCATTTTGGGGAGCACTATTTGCGGGGTGAACCAACCGGTCACGGTCACACCAGAGCGTGCTTTGCGGATTGATAGGCCACGGTCTTACGGACAAGATCTGGGAGTCCGTTGCCACTCGCTGCTGAGCTGCAGGCATCCAAACATGAAGAATATGGGATTCCACCTGAGATTGGCTGAAAGCAGCAGTTTGTTGGCAGTCTTTGTTGAACAATCCCTAGGAGTCGAATTACACTCCCCAAATCAAACGTACCCCTGGCAGCAGTGAGGACCCAAACTAACATATCCCAAACCTCTCCGGTGTTTCCTGGGGAATTGCATGTAACTTTTGCTTTTCGGTAGCTTCAAGAAAAGGTCCAAAAACATTGCTAACCTGGCCTGGGGCAACCATGCATATTACAACTTGAGAGGAGGGAGACACGAAAGGTAGGACAGCGGGAAGAGAAGAGAACGCGAGAGGCAGGGACAAAAATGCAATGTTCGACATGGTGATTTATCCCCTCGGAGGCGACCTTTCGTAAATATATGTTCATATGCACTTTAAATGTTCAAACATGTGCTCTCGAAATGTTCAAAAAGATTCTTAGGAAAACAAACTTGCCCCATGGCTCAGATCATCGGTGAGCATTGAATCGGAACATCATAGGATTTGAACTATCCTGAAACCATAAGAGGCTCACGAAGACGCTCCCCAGGAGAGAATTGACGTGCTTCACAAAACGTATCCCCTCGGGGAACACCTTTCGTGATTAGAATTTCATATTCACTCTTTCTAAATGTTCAAGAGGGTTTCAACTATCCTGAAATCATGAGAGGCTCACGAAGACGTTCTCCAGGACAAAATTGATTTTAGAGGGGGGGGAGGGGGGTGAAAGAGTGACTAGGGCGTACACGGTAGAGGTGCAGACCGCTAGTGTCTTTTACGCGCAGAGTCTTATCCTCTTGCTCTTTGAGCCTTGAAGCAGTCAAGTATGGACACACTATATCGGCTGTTGGAGTGGAACCCTGTACAGATAGGCTCTACTTTTCAGCAGGCACAAGATTCATGTCCACTCCTAGCTGATTGCGTATGTCGCACACTCTTTTTCTACTGCAAGGCTAAAACAGTCCAGCTAGCTCTAGCAACTTAAAAGAAAACTACGGTGCCATGTACTTACCTAATCCAGTGTGTTTCACACTATAGAGAAGGTAATCTCAAAGCTACTAAATACAGTGAGGGAGCAATAGCTGACTCACCTCAAGTACAAAATCAAAACGATAATGTACCTCGGCTGGAGACTGTACTTTTCACAGGCGGAGATACCATGTACCGGCGCTCACTAGCTCTTTATGGCCTGAGCTAAATCAAACTAAAAGGGAAAGCGGCTTTTTCTCTACAGAGACCTATAAAAGAATCAAACGACACTCGCGTAACAAAGAACTAAAAATTCAAGACCGCACAAATTGCAATGAATTAGGATGCCTTGCAAAATGCAAGGAGCGTACGGTCCGAGGAATAATCTTCTCGTGACGTGGTCTCGACCGCTTTCATCCACAGACAAAATAAAACTGCATCAAAAGGACTCTTTCTCATTGACATCAAAAACACAAGAAGGAGATACCGGCAAATGTATGTACAAAAAATCTTGCACTACAATTGCAAATCATGAAATGACTTAATCATCAACCATGACTGGTTGTCCATTAGAGGTCATCTCAGAAAAGGCGGCTGTGATAGATATCATCAGTTATGCAAAACTGTCCATACCTATCTACATGCTAAAGCGTATAAACCTGGAATGCAGGAGTATCTTCTTTGATAAAAAGTTTCTCCTCATTGCAAACCAGAATTTATTAAAACTTCAGCCTGGCAACTTAAAGTCAAGCTTGGAAGCAAAGTATCCACTGTAACCAGAAGTATCTTCACTTCCTAGCCATCATTTAAATTTTCAGCCTTCGCTCAGGAATTATGCCGCTGCAGACGATGAAGCTGCTTGATCAGAAGTTGGCGGCCTTCCTTTCCTTTTATTCTCTTTCTGTTTCTCCTTCCTCCGCAGTTTCGCCTCATGAAGAGTTGCTCCCATGCGATACTGTCTTCTGTCTCCAGATGAAAAGGAAGCTGGTCTGAGTGAAATAAACATTGGACCATGACTGTCCTCGTCAGTGGGCCTTGAGCACATAACCTCCGTGTCAATCATAGCAAAGTTCTCTGAAAAATTACAGATGAACTCCTTCGTGCTCACTGTGGAATTTTCATATTCCTCTTCACTCATTGAATGACCCCATTCAACAATGGTAGACAAACATGTATCGCCAAGCTGTGATCCTTGGTATTCTTCTTTTTCAACAGTAGAATATTCTTCCCAGAGTTTATCAAAGTAAACTTCACACTTCTTGAGGACCTGTGAAGTTGAACTGTAAAATGTTCTGGGAATAGGTGCTTTGATACCAGGATCTGCTTTTACACGAGCTTCTGAAAACCTGCGGATCCAATGCTGCATGGTGCTGTAATAGTAGTTAGCCATTGGCTGCCTTTTGTACCCAGACATTCTGTAGGCCAAACTATTTGCATCACCAGAAATGATGTCCACCTCATAGACAAAACACTCGTAAAGCATCAATGCTGTCTGTTCTCCTGTCAGTAGGTGGGCATCCACAGCACGGTGTGTATCAACATGATAATTACAGACTCTGATGGTATGCATGTTCGCTCGAGTAAGTGGAACACGCTTGTCCTCAGGACCATAGTCATCAAATTCAAAGTCTGCATCCTTGAAATCTTGACGAGGCCTTGTTTCTCCAAAACAAATCTCGTAGATAGCCCAAGTTACATCACGCTGTTCACAGTGACCAAGTTCTTGATCATGTCCAGCAATGATCTTGACATATCCACCTGGTGCCAATCTAGCCATCACTGCAAGATTCTCCCAATCATTGAAACAAACTGTCCAATTCTTTTGCTCAATAAATTCCTTGGCAGGAACAAGAAGATGAGCTTCCTGGAGAATCACGACATGTGCACGTAAAAAGAAGAGCATGTTGAAGAAAAGGTTGTTCTCAAATTGCTCATTCTGAAGTGACATGGCGCTCTGTTTGCGTGGCCTCATTGCACTATCAAGTCCTTGGAGAAACCTTGGTGTGGTGTACTTCTGACCACGAACCATGTTGCCATAGTTCCAGGATAAAAATGTCAAGGACTCTGAGCTGGCCAATAAGTTAGTTCCATATGGTTCTTCTATTCTTCCCTTGAGGAACCTTCTGCACAGCTCTTCATAGAAGGTGACAAAATCCCAACTGGGTCCCTTGGGACCATATGATTCCAGTTCCTTCTTAAGTTCCTTCTTTGTATCCTCCAATTCTTCTCGAGCATGTTATGCCCTTTCAAGGGCCTTTGGATCGACCTGATACTTGCCATCCAAATGAATGATGCGATCATCATTGATAAAGAATCTCTTCAAATCATGCTCTGGTTCGTGTTCATAACAATCAGGCGCAGGTACTGGACAGATATTACGAATGGATCGAACAAAATCATTCTCGTTGATCCTCGACTGATAATGAGGATGGGAAATCTCACCTTTTCTGAAACAAACATGATTCAGCAATCTTGCGTGAGTTTCCCTGAAGCATAGTTGATAAAGGCCAATACCTGGATCTCCTGTAAGCTCTCCAAGCAACTTCAAAGGTGAAGTATGCAGCTCATAGGTATTGTCAACTTTTGTTGTATCCTTTTCAACAACTACTTCAGATGGAAAAGATTCCTGGATTTCAGCCTCCAATTTCTTCTCTCCATCATCCTCTCTGACCTCTTTTATTTTCTCCACCGCCTCTTTCTTCTCTTCCATGGTTGCATCATCCTGAACTTCTTCATGAAAATGAGGATCAGGTATTTTATTCAGGCGGCTTTTCTTAGATTTCGGCAGACGTAGAGTATCATCAAGGTTAGCATCCATCTCACCTGATGGTAAGTGCGATGCAGCCGAGTCTTCACCTATCTCTCTTGATAGAAAGTATGGTGTTGACTCCTCCTTGGCTTCCTCCTGGTCCACTTCCATCTTTGGTTCCTCTGAAGGAAAAACACCTGCATTCTCATCAAATATTTCTTCTTCCTTTTCAGGTTCAACTGCAGGATCTTCTTCAGGAACTTCCTCTTCCATATCCTCATCTTTTAGAAGTGTCCTACTTCCAGTATAGATTTCACCAGCGATAGTGGAGACTCTTGTATAAGGAGGAACTTCTTCACCTGCCTCAAAGGCTTGTTCTGCAACATCCTTGGTGAGCAAGTCCTCTACAAGATTTTCTCCCTCGGTTCTTGGAAGAGGTCCTGAGGTCTCATAAAAATCTGTCCTCTCTGAACTGAAAGCTTCTGTCGCCTTCTCATTGTCCTTTTGATCCCTGAACAGGTGAGTAATCTTCACAGCTTCTCCTTGTAGCACCTGATCACCTCCTCTATACTTGTCGACAATGGAGCGCCATACTGGAACATCATCATCATCAAAATCAAGCTCCATATCATCTGCCAACAGGTATGAGATGTTTTGAGCTGCCTGTTCTTCTTCTTCATCACGTTCTTTGGCAAGCTCCCCATCCTTCTGGATCTTGAAGATACCCTTCAGGATGTCTTGTAGTACCTTTAAGTTCAGCTTCGATGATGGCTCATACGTCCCTGAACTTACAGGCTCAACTACAACACGAGAGCAGGAAATCGCCTCCAAAAACTTGGAATTGTATTGGCGTTCAAACTCTTCCTTCTTGATCATCTCATACAAGGGATCAGAAACTGCAACACGCGCCTGAACATACTCACGAAGTTGATAGCATGCATGTTGCACAAATCTACTGTTGGAGTTGTGAAGAAAACTCTCTAAATGATTCCTGTCACGGTCAATCAAATACCACACAATTCTTGCAGAAAAACGGAATTTCTTGAAGTTCATAGCAAAATGTGTATGATACTTCTCTGGATTCCTTTCTGCTTGTAAGGCGGCCTCTGAAGTCTTGTAGGCTGGGAGATTTGTGTCTGGATCCAAGATCATAAACTCTTCCCACAAGATCGAGTGGTCAAGAACCCACTTGGGAAGCACCTTGATGAAAAAGTCACAAACAAGTTCTGACACAAGGTGCATGACACGACCAATCTCTTCCTCCTGCTTGAAGCGATAGTGCAATTTGGCAAATAGAGGATTG